GCTGGAGCCCCTGTGCTCTGGAGGCAGCCTGGGAGAGCTGGGGCTGCTCCCCTGCACAAGTATTCAGGCTCCAGGGAGAGCTGAGAGCCCCTGGCAGGGCCTAAAGGGGCTCCAGGAGAGCTGCCCAGGGACTGGGGACAAGGCCTGCAGGGCCAGCACCCAGGCAATGGCTTGCCAGTGCCAGAGGGCAGGGTTGTATTGCACATAAGGAAAAAATTTATTTACAGTTTCTTTAAGGAAACCATTGAACAAGGTTTGAGCAACCCAGTTTAGTGGAAGGTGTCTCTGTCCATGAAATGGAAGGTGGAATGAGATGGGAATGGGATCCATTCCCACTGAAACTATTCTGGGATCATATTAAATACATTGCAGTAGCAATACAGTGTTCCTGTAGAAACTCGCATTACAACTTAAAGACAATTTTTAGTTCAGCATGAACAGGGTTTAAAAGGCACAGTTTAAAGTAACATCCTGTACTCTTTTTTCCTAAACAACAGTCATAAACATTTTTACTCAGGAAAATCCCATTAGACTTCTGTAAGAGGAAACCATACCAAAGAAATTAAATTGCTAACATAGAAAACCATAAAGCAAATAAATGGTTTGGTTGGGGAGATGAAACTTCTCAAATACAGCAACACATATTATCAAGGATAGCAATTTTCACAGTAGCTTAATCAACCCAACTAAAAGATGAAGACTTTACCAAAGAGTAAAAAGGGAATTCAGGGCTTCATCCTCCTCTAAGATGTAAGGAACTACAGCAGTGCAGTAAGACTTCACAAGCACTGATGTTTAAGGATGCTACTCACAACTTATTTAAAAAAAGAAAAACAACATTTACAGCTGGTACATAGGTCTCCAGCTTTGGTCTCCAAGCAGGTACAGCAGGCTGTGATGACACTCAAGTATAAACCACTGCATCCCATAGCATGCACAAGTTACATAGGTCTCTGACCTCTTTAAAGCACACATTCTTCTCTAATTGCATTTTACTCCTACCAGCATCAGGAGAATTGACACAAACCTCTTTCCTCATGTCTTTCCCTGAATCTCACTGAAACCTCTGTGACTACCAAAGAAATTAATGAAAGTGCAACCAACAGAGTTCTTAGTGTCTCATACAGCTCTGCACGTGAGCAGCTGTGGTGATAATGTGGAGGAAAAAAGGAAAACTGGATGGTGTTTCTAGCCCCATGAAGTAATTTAATGTTAAAAGTCAATGTCTAATTATTGAGGTGCATGGCAACCTCTAGTGGCATATGCCTGCTTTGGAGACAGCAAATATTCCAACACATGAAGCTATAGAAAAAGCATTTCCCTGAAGTGATCAGTCCTCTTCTTGTCACTGATTTTATTAGAATGACATGAAGAACAGATGCCAGAACACAGCTGAACTGAGGAAGACCCTCCAAGTGTTCCATATTCTACAGCAGTCAGGCAAGCTGCAGAAAAGCCAGGTATCATATACAAAAGCTGTTTCCAAATAGGTTAAAGGAATTCAAGCCAACTGACTTGCAATGTTACGGGACAAACTGAATACCTGCACTGCTGTGTGGATACAGTTAAATATAATTTTAAGATACTACAAACAGCAGCACTCTACAGTGCGGTGCAGTACCACCCTCAGCAATCTGCTGATAAAAGAACTCTGAGTAATTAAACACACACCTGTGGTAGCAGTGCATAGGGAATCTCAGAACCATGGAATATTCTGAGCTGGATGGGATCCACAAGGATCATTCAGTCCAACTCTTCACTGAATGGCCCATACAGGGATCAGACAAGGGAAAGATTTCAAAGTCAGGGCAATCTACAACAGGGGACATCCAACACTAAGTGAACCTTGGATCTTACTAGGAAACATCTATTACTTCTATTTTTAACTTCCAGCAGCTGCTTGTGATAGATTTACACAAATCTGACAATTTCAATGGTTTGCTGGAATGTGATACAAATTACCCAACATTATGAAGTTGTATTTTACTGAGCTCTTAAGTGCACTACATTGAATATTCCCAGCTAATTCTTTCACAGAAAACAGTCTTCAGAATTTAAAACAATTGGCTGTCTCTGCTCAGAATAGGATTAGGAAAAAGCCCTGCATGGAAATGGCATTAATTCTCACATTAAGGAAAGAGTCATTAGAGCATCTGGTGAGGTTTAAATTACAACTGTCTATTCAGTTGTATTGCTAAGCAGATTTTAAGTGTTTCAGAGCTACTTAATTTAGAAACCTATATCCTGAAATATTTCATGTAATATAAAGTACTATTCCGTTTTTCCTCTGCAGAAAACACTTTCTCATTAAGATCCTTGGACTCTGATGGTAAAGCAGAATAAGTGTATAAATATACATATTCTGCTTTGGCATCATGGAACAAAGCTCCGTCCATCACTGCTTGCTAAATTTAATAATTGTGGATAACAGACTTCCTAAGGCAGAAAAAGGAAGGACCATATATGACTCAAACACCAGCCCCTTAAGAAAGACATGTATTTTTACTGTTTTTCTTGGTAACTTAAACTTCATAGCAAATCCAGTATATTTTGAGAGGAAATCAGGTTAAAATACTTCCTCCATCATGATTAAACCTGCCAAGGCACCCAGGCTGTAAAGTTCCTGAGAAGAAAATGCAGTAAAGTCTAACAGGAGACAGCCTGCTCCTGGAACTGGCTCTTCCTTCCAGCCTGCCCATGTCCTAGTCCCACAGGACACTTTACAACAGATTTTAATACATATTTAAAGTAGTGTGTTTTGATTTACAAGCAATCATGATCACAGCGACAACTTAAATTCCAATCTTGGTGGTCGTTTTTGCCTATTGTCCAGATGTACAATTTTCTAACTCCAGAATAAGATCCTCTTTCCCTAATACCCTTCTTGTTTTGCTGGTTCTGTTTCAAATCTAAAGTCACCTCCTTCATTACAATTTCCACTTGTAATAATATGGAGTGCCTGGCTACAAGAAGACAGAAGCTTAAAAGCAACAGCATGGAATACCTTTGGATTATGTAAGAATGTCATAGTATACATAATACAGATCTTATTGCCTTTTTTATTTTTGCTTCTTCAGTATTGACCATTTTCTCTACCAACCCTTACATTACTTCCGGGCAGAACAATACAGCTCCAGCCCTGCTGGCACCCAATGGCTGGGATAGCCAGCATCCTTCTCTCTGCTGTCCTACCAGGCTAACATGTCTCCAGTTCTCCAAATGCACTGAGGTCTCACACTGATTTATAGAAACATAGACTAGAACCATAGATCCATTTAGGTTAGAAAAACTCTTGAAGAGCATCGAGTCCAACCACTCCCCCAGCACTGCCCTAGGCCACCACTGACCCGTGTGCCCAGGTGCCACATGGCTTTTAAACACTTCCAGGGATGGGGACTCCAACAGCTGAACTTCTCTGACAGAACTTCCTTTCCCTGTCTTCTGCCATTCACCGCTTTGCCTTCTTTCTGCACACATTGGCGTCAAGCAGCAGAACAAGTGCCTCCACTAAGAACATCACAGCTAAAAATCAAGCAGTAATGTTAAAGTCATGTTGTAAATATACAGAGACATAAGGAATAAGGCTCCCAAATGTTAGAGGATCCTGATAAAATGCTGCATGAAATGAGCAAAAGAGAAATTCTTAGGTCTTGAGACTAGCAAGATAACTGCTTCCTGCCCCAAATATAATCAGAAGAACACATCTCACTTTGGGCTGCAGAAACAGGTGTAGAATAAAATAGAACAAAATCAGAACCCAGGATTCTAGGAACAAGTTCTGAAGTGGAAAATGAAGTACCACAGTAAGAACCAAACTAAGTTTTTGAGAGTCAGAGAAGTGTATCTCACACTGCACCAGGACCTCTGATTTCAGAACATTTCAAATGCTTGGAAAACTCAGACTTCATGTCTATGATTTGAGAAATGAGCACAGCAAATATTTAAGACAATGTCTGTGGCAAGTAAGGGGAAAATAGCTCCATTTCAAACTCTGAACCCTCTTTACTTCTGCCAAGGGTATGAAAAGAGGGCAAGTATCAGGCAGGTGAAAGGCACCAACACAATGCATTAATTCTGGTAACCTGTCCTACTTTTACCACCAACCATTTTCAAAGGAGAAGTGTCTTGGACAGAATTAAATCCTTAAGAACAAGCTGCATGTCATGTTAACCCAGTCCTTGACAAAGTGTACAGGTACACAATTATTATTCTTGGCACGCAGTCTGTACCTGACAAGCCCTGTAACAATTTATTCCAGATCACATTAAAGAGGACCTTCCCAGCTTCCCTTGGAGCATGGAGCAAGGCTGGCTGCCAAGATGAGACGCATGCCTGGCGCAGGGTTGCCTGCCTTTACAATGTGCTCCGCAGCACAGAAACACAATAGGAAGGACCAACTTCAATATCTGCTCCTTCAAAGTTTTGGCCTTGTTTTAGAGCCAGAGCAGATACTGACTATTGACTACTTTACAGGATAATAAACTTTATCATTTGAAAAGCACAGATCTAGGCTTTATTGCTCATATTTGCAAGGTATTGACATAAAATGATCATTTAATTATGTCTGATTTAAAAAATAAACCTTTTGCCAAATATGCAGGAAGAAATAAGCTGAAAATCCATGCTGTATAGTACTTGACAACCACCACTCAGTGCATTTTTATAACTGAATACATGACTGAATTTGTAATTCACACAAATCCATGAAAACCTGTTCTGAAGACAGCTCTTGAGCTGTTCTGTTGAGAGGATCAAAAGGCAAAGTTTCTCAGACAGAGAAACTAGTATTCTTTCTGCCCATTCAGAGCAGATTCAAATATAGAACAAGATTTATTCTGGCATCATTTAGTTGCTCAGTTATCATTTCTGCTGTTAAGTTCATTGGTATTTCTAAGGCATATAAAATTAATCTTTCTGTACTACTAAGACACACAAAATTCAAGCTTCTCTACTCCTGAGTTTCAGTAAAGATGGCTTTCCAGCAGAGTTTTCATATTTACCTGATGATCCTCTGAGCAGCATACTGATGAAGCGAGCGGAACTGTGCTGACATATTTGCTAAGGCTGCCAGACAATTTGTATGAAGGTATTTGTCCTGTCAGAAAGAAGAGGAAAGATAAAAAAACCAACACATCAAACTGTTTGTTGGATGCACACTGACATCTCTTACAGAAATCATTCAAAAGACTGAGTAATTTATGTTGTTTTAAAAGCACAAGCAGAAATGGAAAGGGTATATACTTGGTGATGTTTGAACATGTTTTCTTAAAATATAAGGCTTGTAAAAGAGTGATTCCATACAGATTTCAGAGTGTATACATACATGTATGCATAGACATGTTTGTCTTTCAGTATTCATTTACAATTGCACCACATCTGTAACATATAAACAGACATTTTCCTCCTCTCTACCTTTCTCTCTTTCCCTCTTGTAGTCCTATCCCAAAACTTTCTACCTCATAACTCATCTCCCTGTTGACTCTTTCACACCATTCCATATATCCCAGAACTACTACCATACCATACTTCAGAGCACTGGTCCTCACTTCAGCATCCCTGAAACCATTTGACCACATAGGCATTTATCTGATGGCCCTTTCAAAGTCAAGGGTGCTCACAGAATGAAACTTGTCCATTCATCCAATCCAAAAGGGATTAATTTCCCTACCCAAGTCTGAAATAATTCATCTACATAACAGATCCTAAATACTACAATTACATGCCAAATTTGTTCTTATTCCTTCCATTTTTTTATCATAAAAGCAAAATCCTTAATTTTTCCAGTCTAAAATATATTTAATATTTTGGCTACTGTTTAATGTAAAAAATTCTGTGCCTTTAATTGTTGAAAATATTAATAAGTGTGTGTTACTATGTTTGTGTTCGCAAAAAAAAGTAAAAAAATAAATGCTTGAAAAATAAACAAAATCATTCTAGGCTATAAGGCTCTGAAGTTAAAGCAGTTTTGCTTTGCCAGAGCTCAAAAAGGTCTTCTCACCCAATCCTTGACATACTTCCTAAAAAAACTAACAATAAATAGACCTGAAATCCCCACTTCTACGTCATTCAGAGAGGCAAGCACCCTATAAGGAATAACTTCTTCTCTTGAAACTAAGGAACTCTTTCTTCTCAACTGAAGATGAGCTTGATGCCTCAACGAAGGTCTTTAGAGAACCATACTCAATGAACTGGAAGACAACACAGAAATTGTGTTACGAGTTCACAAACACTTAAATTAACATTTAAGTTGATCTATTTTCTTCCCTCCTGCAAAACCAGATGCCAACAGGTTGCAACAGAATTACTAAAATCCCACCCCCTGTTTGAAACTGAATTCAAGCTGCTGAGGTTACAAATTCACAAGTGTTCCACGTAAGTCTTACCCTTGTCCGTGTCATGTTGTACTGGATGGTTCTTATCACAACCAGTATCAGAAGACTCCCAAGTGAGATCTCTGTTAGGACACGCTCAGCATACCAAGTGATGTTTTTCAGTATCTGCAAAAGAAAAAAATAAAAGAACAAGGCTCTTCAGCACCTAGGTCTTAATAAGAACACAGGAAGCTGTCTGGAATCTCACATTCCTAAAGACACGGAAATTAGAAATTAGTTTCCACTCTCAAATGTGACTTAATTTTTGTACTCCAAAGCATAATTAAAACAAAATTAACAATAACAACAAAAAAAGTCAGACCTCTGCATCATTATCACCTAGATCTCATCAACTTTAAGTCATACAGAAACACACCAAGTGTAGAAAGATGATTACATTTGGCACTTCGCTAATTCCAATGCTCTGTGCCACCATATTCATATACTCATTTTGATCTTACTCTTGACACTTTATAAAGCCTCCATTTGCACCCAAGACACCTGAATAATTCTGCCAATGCCTTGCCGTTTTCCCTCATCACTGGCTGGGCAAGAGGCAGCACACAGGAGCTCTGACTGATGGGCAAGAGCACACACACTGAAGGTCAGGGGCAGATCAACAGTGTTGAATTCATACTGAAGCCTTTCCCTTGAAAAGTATGAAGTCTCTTCCCCTAACACTTTAGATAAAGTCATCAACTAGATTAAGAGCTTCATATCTTTCCCTGCCCTCTGCTCTCATGGTGGATGAAGTTAACCACCATTTCTAAGTTTACAGCAGAAGAAGAATCAATCCACTCTTGTAGTCAGCCAGCCTATGGAGGAAACACGTGTACCCAACACCCTGCCTTGAAGGACTGGTGAAAATGACTCAACAGGAACTGTCCTAAAAACATGGAAAAGATCCTCTATAAATTCAGGGTTATTCTCGGTCAAAACATAAGTATGTTTAATGAGGACTACTGCACACAAATCTATCACTCTGTGTAACTTCAGGGAGAGAAGAGAGACTGAAGGAGAGCTGGAGAGGGACTGGAGAGACACAGGCAATGGCTTGCCAGTGCCAGAGGGCAGGCCCAGCTGGGATATTGGCAAGGAATTGCTGGCTGGGAGGGTGGGCAGGCCCTGGCACAGGGTGCCCAGAGCAGCTGGGGCTGCCCCTGCATCCCTGCAGTGTCCAAGGCCAGGCTGGACAGGGCTTGGAGCAGCCTGGGACAGTGGAAAGTGTCCCTTCCACTGCAGGGGGTGGAACCCAAAGATTAATTTTTAGGTCTGTTCCAACTCAAACCAACCTGTGTACCTCTGAAAGCTCTTTCACATTACAAGAGACATTTGAAATAGCATCCTTATTATGATTCATGTTAATTGGTAAGCTGATAAAGTTTAAGATATAAAAATAATTTTTTATTATATATGAAGACACAAAATAAAAATTCAGGTCCTTGAAATAAAATTTAAATACTTTTTTTTAAAGCATCTCCATTACCACATGCTGCACAGTACCTGGCTCTTTATCAGCACCTTCCTATTTCCCACAAGAAAGCTAAAATGAAGCCAGTGACCTTAAGCTATTGATGGGAAAAACTATTTTACTGTTTTATGGCAAAGGTGACAAAACATCCCCAGGTACAAGCTGAGGTGCAGTGCTTGATGGTAAACACCTTTTGCAGAAAGGATGGAGAATGGTCAAGGCTGAGGAACAAATAGGAAACATGAAATCACTACAAGAAAGGTTTCCACAAATAGCAGGCGATGAGTGGATGCGGAAACCAGTATAATTTCTGGTTATAACAAGTCACTAATACTATTTTAAGACAAAGTGATGATGGTATAAATGAAAACAAGTCATCCAAAGAGTTTCAGTAAACAAGGATAACTAGTTGGGATGAACAACATAGATGATTAACAGGAAATGCCTGAAAGACAAAGCAAAATCCACACATATTTTCACAAAAAAAGGCAACTGAAAATTTCAAAAGCTGTTAGTGTAAGTAATTAATGAAGCACACGTACAAACTTTACTGCAAGAAGATACTGTGCTAGTGGAGAACTTGATCATCCCAAGGCTGCTAAGCATAAACATATGGTAAGATATAGCAAGTTCATGGGTTACTTCACAAATGCAAAATGCTAAAGTAAGTGCAGACATTCATCCTGGTTGCCTTAATTGTAATTTCTTAGTAACAGCTTATTTATCACTATGTGAATATACCTGTTCTCAAGAGAAGATTTTATATAAAGAAATAAATTAAACACTTTGACAAATATCTCAAGCTCAAATATCTCAAGATCAGTACTGAAACCTTCCAGAAGAAAAACATATTGTTATTTAAGGAATACAGTATATGATCATTAAATAATGGTTACTCTCAGCAATAAAAAAATATAAAATATAACAAAATATAAAATAAAAAAAAAATATAGCAGGGGTAAGTTGTGGTTCCACATTTCATTTCCTGACTTTTAAATGCTTATTGAAAATTTAACAGACTTTATAAAAAAAACGAAATACAGCTATGAAAATGGATACTGTAAAATACTATTTGTTCTGACATGACACACAATGTAAATTGAAACCAATAGTACGTAAACGGACATACTTCCTGATGATTATTGAAAAGAAATAACTTCACTCAATTTGCTCTGAAACGATACCCAAGAGTTTGGGGTTTAGGTTTTTTTTCCCCTTTTAGACAAAATACACTTACCCTGGCCAAAAAACCATCAACATAACTGATTAAATATCTAATAAGTTACTTTTTGTAGTCTCTGATTTATGAGTGAAATAGCAGAGCAACCTCCTCCCACAAATAAAACAATCCCCATACTTCCTCCCACCCTCTTTGGTGCTATTTTGTGGGGCACATCCCTGCACTTCACCCACCAAAGTGGAAGTTCATGATTCACTCTATGCTGGAGCTGAGAGCAGATTCCATCATGTGCTCTCCCCCACAGGGTGTCCCAGTGGGACAAGAGGAATGGGACTGGGACAAGTTAATTAGCTCCCAAGGAGTACCCTGAGCCTTCCCGCATCTCCAGACACATCTTTCTCATCCACCCATGGATCTCTGTTGTATATAGAAGCCATCACCCTTCCTGTTTTCCCTCCTTGTAGCTTATCCCACCTCCTTGCCCCCCCAGACCCCATTCCTTCACACTTCTTTCTTCTACCTGCTTCTACTCCCCCCTCCCACACCTTATCATCACAGAACCACAGAATGGATTGTTCTAAATGTTCAAAGTGTTACAATGAATTTAAAGCTCAACCCACCTTCCACTATCCCAGCTTGCTCCAAGCCCTGTCCAGCCTGGCCTTGGACACTTCCAGGAATCCAGGGGCAGCCACAGCTGTTCTGGGCACCCTGTGCCTGTGCCTCACCATCTTCACAGGGAATAATTTATTCCCTATATCCCTTCTAACCCTGCCTTCTGTCAGGGTGAAGCTACTCTCCTTTGTCCTACCCTGCCCTGCCCAGTCTCTCATCGAAAAGAAGCCTGACTTCACCTTCCTCAACTTTTTGTCACTCACTTCCTATCCTGCCTCTTCACTCATTTCTCTTGTCAGCATCCCAAAATCTTACCTACTTCTTCTTAAAATCTTGTCCCTCTCCCCTACTGCACCATCCCATGCTCCATGTGCAGCCAGTCCCAGCCTGTTTCAAATTTCTCCCAGCTGCTGTCATATCAATGTCTCCCATTCTTCTACATTTTCTTCAATGTGTGGATGTGGCACTTGGGGACATAGGTGGCCTTGGCAGGGCTGGGGGTGGTTGGACTCAATGGCCTTGCAGGGCTTTTCCAAGCCAAACGGTTCTGTGTGGTTTCAACCACTGCCAAGCAGCAGCAGAATCATCCCTGGGAGCACAGTCTCGTCCCACGGGAGCTGCACTTGCACAAGCTGCAGCTCATCCCTGCCTATCTCAGCTGATAACATGATCCCTGGGCAGGGGAGGATGCACACAGCCCCGATGGCTCTAGAAACAGCAAAATGAGAATATTCAGTTTCCACAGACGTCAGGACACCTCCGGCTACGTCTCTGCTGCGCAGATGGAAACAGACTGCTCCCTGTGCCCAGAGACTGATAATTTGGTCACATTTAGTCATATTATCAGCAGCAGAGCCCTGGCACAAAGGCCACCTGCCACATTTCAGATTCCTAAAGCAAAACATGAAGATACCAGGGCTCATTAAGTACCATGCTGACAGCTGTAAGCATGGACAAAGACATGTTAACGCTCCAGTCTCACTCCAGAAACCTTCAGTGGTTCTCCCTGAAACTCTGAAAACACCAACCTGGGAAAAATGACAGTTACTGAGGTATCTATTCCTTGAAATAGTACACTGTTCTTAAAAAAAATAGATGAATTCTCAGTTATAAAGTTACATACTAGAACCTGTTACCTCTCCTCCACACTGAGGAAAGCAACCTGAGCTGGTAGGCAGTAAAATGGCTATTTCAGAAACAACAAAAGCAACCACCATCATCCATTCCGGGTTTCAGAGGCATGAAGCATGAAAATACCTTAAATTTCAAAATCATCTACCTGGAACCAGTGCCCCCACTGACCAATCTCATTGGTTTGCAGTTAACATTAAAAAGGGAAAAAAAGAAAAAGCTTAGTTCTGAGGTGGTCTTGCAAGAATAATTTTAAAATAAATTAAAATGTTTTGATTAATTATTCTTTTGAATACCAGGCTCTTGGATAGTTCCAACTCAGGGAGCACAACCTGCAGATGCAAAGAGCAGGAGCTCAGTTCTGCATATACCAAGCAGTGAGATTCTCAGTTTCCCACAACTTTGCTTGTGAGATATTTTTTAACACACTAAAAATAAACACAGTTAAATCATGATTTACAGTCTATCACCACTTACTACAGCATAAAGTGCTACAGTAGCACAATAAGGTTACTGCTACATAAAATACCTTATGATGTTATTTTGACTTTGACGTCTGATGTAATTTTATTTAGAATTTCATAAATCAGAGACAAAAGATCACCAATACTTGTCTCTCTGGAGAATTCTCACATTTACTTGTTTACTCTGCTATTATAATTATTGTTATTATTAGTGAAAGAAATGGAGTTCTGTGTGGTTACAGTGACCCAACTGCATTAAACCAATTGCAGGAACAGGACCTATGATTTTGATCATATTTTCCAGGCAGTTAAGACCACACTCATTTTAAATAAAAAATGCTTCAGCATCCTACAGCAGTCAAAAAGAGTTCCTGTGGTTTCCTGAGCTCCTTACCAGTTGGTATAATCACCAGATTTATAAAACTTCACTTACTAAAATTAATCCTAAAAATCAATAAATAAATGTGGGTTAAATGCCACAAAGGAAAATAGTCCATAAATGAACTGTACAGTCATGGTTCTTATAAGAACAGTACACAGGATACACAGCGGAGAGAAAAACAGGTTGATCTAAAATACAGCACATCTCTTTTTCTTCATATTTTACCCAAGTAAAAGATTTCCCATGGAGGAAAAAACCAATCCTGCTGTAACTGCTAGAATTTGGTATGTATTTGCATGCGTGAGGCTTATGAAACTGATGCTAGATGCTTACATTTTACAGAAAGGCCTACACAGATTTTCTGACTCCCATCATTTTGCAGACCTATAATACCCTCTTAGGCTTTAGGAGATGTGGAGTCAATATTTAAGAATGTATGAGACTAATTTTGTCTAAATACTGGAGTTTCTGACCAGAAACTTGCTCATTCATCCCTGAAAACATCTATTTTAAATAATTCAAAGACATGGGTGAGGGGAATGGATTTGTAAGTATGACTTTGACATGCTTTTTTCCCTTACACTTATTTCCCTCCTTGGGATCTGCAGGAATGTGTAGAAGAAGCTCACACAGACAGGCCTGAAGGCTCCTGCACCTCACAGCCACCCTCTCATTATCCACCCAAGAACCAAATCCAGCAAAACTCTGGCCACACAGCAATATTAACAAAATGGTACCAGACCCTACTGAGCAGGAAAACACAACCACAGAGGAAAGAAAGAAGCAGTTAGTGAATATCTGGAGTAAAATAAAAAAAAAAAAGGGTGAAGAAAATGGAAGAAGCAAAGCTATGACTGAAAAAAAGATCAGAACAGGGTAAAAGGAATAAGGTGGGGTTTGTGTTTTTATTAAGATAGAAGTAGTAAACCAATATCCACATTGCAAGCAAACACTACAACTCTGTTGGCAGAGTTAGCTGAAAGGCAGGATTAACCTGAAAAGAAAACTTGATTTATGTTCTCATTCCACAGCTGGATCCTCATTAAGGAATTTAGGGAAATCTTCCATTTTTACTCATCCAGTAAGGAATTTATTGAAAGACCGTGTGTAAAGCCTCTAAAATGAACAAAGAATGATAGAGGAAGAGATTGAGGCAGGAATGACACCTTGTCTGCTGAATTCCAGCTCTCAACAAGTCCAGTTTATGAGACAGGATAAATGACTCAGTGACATGGAACCCAAAAATACACATCACACATGTACACCTCTGGTGCACATGTACAGGTTCAAGGCACACGAAGTTGAAGGCAGGAAAAAGCTTCAAGAAAATATTTCAGTCATCTGCTTGGTTACTATAGGTGCTCTTAAAAGCTGCTTCCTAAAAGGTATTCCCAGGAAACTGCACTTAAATAATCTCTTCCTGCTTTTTATACACAGAGCTATACTAAATAAACTGAAATTTCAGAGAAAACATACTATAAGTCTCTACTGTTTGGCAACAAGAAAAATGTCAGCTCCCTCCAAAATAGGTTGGAAATTCACCTGGGAAAGACTTCCATTTAGGAACCTTAACATTTGCTTTCAGCATTTTGCATTTCAATAATTTCACACAGACAATAATTTACAAAGATAATAATTTCCCCAAAAGAGAATTTCTGTATCCTAGTCAAAAAAATAAATTAAATCAGTGCAAATATCTTATGCAGTATCATAGTTTTAGAAGCTGGGAAACTAGGACATAATTGTCCAAGAATTGTCCATCCTGCACAGATGGTCAAGGTCCATCAAAGCTAGTAAAAATTTGGACCCGGTTATATGGACAACATAAAACAGAAATTAATCTAACAGAGAGACAGAAAAAGAAATGCCAAGTAAGGAAGTAACATTTAGTATGGAAAATACAACTCCAGCTAAAGGCTGCATCAAACTAGTTAAGCAAAGTTTTTCAAGAGAAATAAAAAAGGTTTCCTGTTTTTTTTCCTCTCTTCTAGGCCCTCCACTTCCATGGCAAACATTCAGCACCTTTGAGGCAGCCTGCCCGGCTATTACTAGGCTAATTTGTAACAGGGAACACCAAAAAAAGACAGAAAATGAGATATTTGCAGCAGTTTCTCTACAGGAGGGAGTGTTTTTGTTCGTTTCACTTGGGAAAAGTTTTGAAATGAGTCTTCAGGTTTCTTCTTCTTCGTACAAAACAAAGATGTATATGCCATCAAATTTGGATAAGCTTATACAGCCTCTGCTGAGGGAACAGATTTGCTGATGTATCTTTTTAGAAGTAAATATTTAGATTACTCTTAGAGCTGAAGGATTATTTACCAAAACAGCAACTCACCACTTCATGAATGGATCGGTTGAAGCCATCATCTTCTGTAAGGATCAGCAGAATTATAAGGGCCATGTAAACATGGTGTGAATTCCTTTCTTCAACGTGATACAGAATTTCAAGAATTGGCAGAACCTTTAGGGAAGGAAAAATATGTGTATTAGTTTAGTCTTCAAATACCTCAGATACTAAACAGAGGCAGTTCTAAAGGTCCCGTGTATTGCCCTGCCCTTGACAATTCATACCAATTCCTCCCTCTTAAAACAACCACCCCTGAGCTGTGACATACAGTGTCCAAACACCTTCTATCTGCTTCGTTTTGTCTCACAAGAGAGTCTAAACAAGTGCTTTCTTGTGGTCAGAAATGGAATTTCAATCCCTAATAAATGAGATTCCCAGCCATACCAGTTACCATAATCTCCAAAAGCTTCAGTCCTCCTCTCTACACTATGGGGAAAAGAGAATTGTTAAACAAGATTTTTAGCAGTCCAAGCAGGAAAACAGTTGTGTCTACCCATCTGTGCTACCACAAAGCCTGCTCTGAAAAGCCCTTCCTCATCAAACCTAGCCAAGCATATCAAAGCTGAGGTGAATAGAGGCACTTTGAGACATGGAAGTTAAATCCCATTTTGGTGTGCGAAGATAATACCAGAAAGAAACCAGTTTGGGTTGGGTTAAGACTAGAAGAGGCCTGTTTTTCCAATTTTAGATAATATGCAGCCAAAGAGAACTGACTGATCATTATGATTAGAGTTCAGCCCAAGGTCTTGCAACATTTCCACCAGGATGAACAGCTTAAGCCAAACCCTTGCAATAATAACGAAAATGAGATTTCATTGCAACAGCAAGCATACCTGAATGCTAGTCTAAAGTTAATCCAGATGCAAACGTTGTCTCTCTACCAAATGAAAATTAGCTTTCTACTGGCTCAGTACAACGTGGCTTCCCTGGGCTGCAGAAATAGGCCGAAATCACAAAAAGCCCTGGAAAAAGGAACTGGAGAAAGCCCTCAGTTCCAAGAAGCTTCTAGACACCTAAAAACTTTCTGTTTTTCAAAACAGGCCAAATGCAGCTGGATGAATCATGTGAAACCTATTCTGGTGAGCAGCCAGGACACCAAGTGCTTCACAAGCCTCTGAAGTTACCAAAATGTTCTCTTACAATCAACCATCCTCGAAACAGTTGAGACATACTAAACCAGTTTCTATTAGAATGAAATGAGATTGATCTAAATGCTGCAGGCCACAAATCCTTTTGACACATACTTTGGTCAGGGTCAAGGATGACAACAGAAGCAAAGGGAGAACATACATACAGTAATACTTTTCATAATATTAAATAAATATTAAAATAAAAATATTTTTTAAAAATTACACGCTGCAAACATCCTTCCCTTACCATTTCAAAGGATCCTTCAGAAACTTCTCTCCCCAGTGGAAACTAGAGTACCATCTTTGTGTTTTCTTAATATTAGTCTTGAGTAAAGACCAGGTTTTCCCTAGAACTCCTAGCTAGCATATAGACAAAAAAATTTGTCCTTTTCCTTGGATGGGAAGAAAGTGAGATAAACATCTCTGCTTTAGTCCACCATTCAAATTGTTTTTATCTCCACAATTACATGCTGTCTGTAGCTTTGCAGTGTAAAAGCAGTGTCATTTCCACATCCAAGAGTTATTACAATAAGCTGGATGGAGCTGGAAGCAACATAAAACTAATGAAGAATTGCATTTACAACTGGACTTTGCAGGGAGAACAACAAAAGCCTTGCTGTAGGTAACCACTGGAACAACTTCTTAGGTTTCTAGACAGATCTCAGACGGAAGCACAGAATGGTTTGGGTTGGAAGGGACCTTTAAAGATAATTGTGATTCAGTCTGGTTGTGTTGAACCCTACAAACCACTTTGGCAAAACATATTCCTTCAGAACAGTGCAAAATATCAATTCTGTCTATGCACATTAATACTAATTGTAACTGAAAAAGTCCATTCTTGTCCTTATGTGCTCTAAGTCCTGCAAGTGTGTTGCTGCAAACTACATTTAAAAATACATGATATTGAGACATTGCAGCCATTCCTCTACAAGCCAAGATGTGAAAGCTCCATACTTGCTACTGAAGAGTAGTCTGGCACTCCAGATCATGGCAGTCAGTCCTCCTGTCCCAAACAAACCTCTGTTGCTTCCAAAACCTCCACTCCTTTGGCCACATTTCCCTTTCCACTCCTCTTTCAGGCTTTGCGCTGTCTACACACTGGACAAAATTCAGGGAGGCAACTGGCAACTTAATTCTCTTTTATATGCCATTTCCAGATGGAACCAGAATCAATTTATACACTTTCCGTGATCTTTCCTCCTTACAACACTTCTTCCTTTGTATATTGATTGCTGGGGTGCATACACACCTTTAGGACAAGTATTACTGTTCTCAAAACAAAAACTTGTGAATAAGCCACCACTTCTATTAAAAAGTTACAATATATGATTCAATTAAAACTCTACTCATACAAAAATGTAAAATTGGAAATACTCTGGGAGATGTCTGGGAGGAGTCTTGGGTGGAGGCTGGAGGAGACAATTTTCTTCAAAAGAGGAAGGCTTTTAGATAGTTTCCTTGGAGAAGTCTGGGGCAGAAACCTGGGTCTCAGGTCTCTAGAAGAATTCAAAAAACCCTGGGAGATGCCTGGAAGGAGTCTCAAGTGAATCTTGGAAGTGAGATATGGTATTTAAAGAGCAAAAACATCTCAGGTATCTTCTCTGAAGGAGTCCAGGGCTGCTGCCTGGGACCTCAGGTGTCTCAAATAAAGGTGGAAACTGCAGGAAATGCCTGGGAGGAGTCTCAGGAGGATTCTGGGAGACAGATTCCTCCAAAAGAGAAGAATCCTCTCAGTTAATATTTTAATTATATTAAAATTTATCTAGACTTTCAACTGAAATACTTTTCTACACTTCTATGCTACATACATGCATTAAAACTTTGGTACCTATCTTACACAATGGTTTTATCCTACCCTATATTGTGAAGGCAGCCACCACGTCTTTCGTATTGCTGACCCTTTTCTCACAGTCATCACACTACCTCTACTGCACCACTACTAACACTTCTCCCTTAGGAGCAGCTTTCAACTGGCAAGAAACAGCCACCATTAAAAAGTTACTTTTAATCCCCAAAACAAGTAAAATACGTAAAAACAGACACTGAAAATTGCAGGTGCTATATTCAGTCCAGGGTTGGTTTCCCCAGTAAAGTTTAAAAATACATTGTCTTTAGTAATCCACAAAATACAAGCAATAACCTGCTTAAGACAAATTTATATGACAGGAAAAAATATTCCTGTACCATCAGCTGATAAAAATACATCATCATTTATGCTATTTCATTCCAGTCACGTTGAGCAGCAACAAAATCTCAACTCAGCAGCTAAAGCAAACACATCCAATAGCTCATTTCTTACATGCAGAAATGTCACTGGTATATTTACTTGCAATATTGGTGCTAATTGCTCTTTCAAACAGAAGAAGCTCAACAGTCTCCCACCCACAGACCAGAACACTTTGCTGATCAAAAAATGTGCTAACTGCACTCTATTTCACCTGTCCCACCACTTTCTGGAAGATCCCTGCGAGCACTTTGAAAAGGACAGCCAAATACTAGATGTAAACTTCTCTAACAAAAGATTTTCTAGCATCAGATATTTAATCCAGTTATTTTAAAAAATGAAGTCATGAAGGACACACAAAGATCCTATTCATTTTGCTAAGAAGAATTATAGTAAGACCAAAATAGGTTCTTTATTAACAATAAAACACAAAGTCCAAGGGAAGGTGAAGATATTTAGCTATAACTGGCAGAGAGGGATTCATACAAATGAGGAAGTGAGCTGAGACAGTATCTGTTGTACCAGCTAAGAAAAACAAACTGTTTTAATTTACAAGTTAAACTGAAGTTGAAAAAGAGCAGAGACACATTTCAAAAATCCTTATGAAATGTTACAGATCACCTTCTGGTGATGGTTCCTGGGCACAGAAAGGGAAACAAATTAAAATGGAGGAAAACACAACGTATGGGATGCACTGAGAGCAAAGAAACAGGAAAAACCTGCAAAATCCCCTAAAGTTTAGGATGAGCTCTGAGCTGCCTGTGGACATGATCTCATATAGCACCTATATACCCTTATACCTCATTCATCCAACTGCTTCTGTACAAAGAGGCCACAGATTTATACCACATGCCTCCAAAAAGCCCTCCACCCTCATTCAAAGATCATTTTGACTCTGAATTAATGACCTTACTGCTTTAGTCCTGTATCTCCGGATGGTGGGAATCAGGCTTTAGTTCTTATCATCCCTCTCCACAAGCAGAGATTCCTGTTTTTTCAAGGATTCCCCTTAATGAAGGCACATACACATCCTGATACTCCCCAAGCTCTTCTCTGACTAGCTGGAGCTAGCTTCTTAGGCCTCTCAGAGTGTTATTGTTAATTTTAAAGCAAAAACTGCCATGTTTCTCAAAACTGGCCCATTTTTCAACAGTCTTTAACTATTTCATGAAGTCTGGAAGTATAACACCAGAATAGTACACAGCACATCAGCACCACTCTTGTCATACAGGGAAGGACAGCCAGCTCCAGTACTCAAGTCCCTTCATATTTTCAAGTCTAAGACTGAATTACTCCTTTCCACCACAGGACTTTAGTTAGGAGGTCATGATTTCTTTGTCCAGTAGCCCTCCCAATTCTTTTTGGGTCTGGCTCAGCCTGCCTTACTGAGCAATTAAAACTGCTCTTCTCAGTTGGTTGCTGCTTATCCTTATCTACTGGCCTGATAAAAACAAGATTGGACAAAGATGTCAGTAACTTGTCAGCAGAGATCATAAAGAAGCAGCATGAAGAGCAAAATAAGAGCAGTTTCAAATGTTGGTATGGAAAAAAAAATCAAAATACCCACAAAAAACATATTTTCCACTTTTCAGTGATCCTTTTCTGAATTTTTTCAGCTTTTCCCATGAAGTGTTTAAAGTTGCTGATAATTTCTGGGATTTTCTGACTATTTCTTTTTAGGTGATAATATGAAAATATCTTACACTGCAGAGCATCTGAGTACCTGCATCTTGGCTTGTTTTGACAGATGCACAGCATTGTTTTTCTGGAAGCTTTACAGTGTATCTGACACCATAATTATAAAACAATGCACACACCTAATATTTACTTGTTTAGAGAAACCTGGGATAGTGGAAGGCATCCTTGCACATGCAGGGGATTTGAACAAGATGGACTTTAAGGTCCCTTCCAACCCAAACCCTTCTGGGATTCTATTCTGTGATTCTAAAGATACAACAAATTGTTATGGTTAGCAGCTGTTAACTTGTCATATCACACACTAGCAACCCCAAAAATTATACACGACCATTTGTTCACAGAATTCATGCAAAATGACTCAGCCCTTGCCTACATAATCTGCAGTGGACACAGGTTCAGTCTTGAATCAATTCAGCATCAACCATCTCACCCCAGTTTGCCAACAGTGTCGTCTATCAACTCCGATTTTAGCAATACATCTGCTAGAACTTGGACAGAAACCAAACTCACTCCATATCTGCCACCAAACAGGCAAGGGATCTAATTACCTGGCAAGATTTCAAATATTAAAATGGAAAGGGTCCTCTATTCTGTTACCAATTCCCCTAGACAGCCATTATCTTATTAAAGGAATGCTTTTTAATAAGTAAGATTTGTTGAAGTGGTTTGTGACATAACTAAAGTGGGGAACATAAGCTAATTTATAACCTACAAAAACCGTACCAGGTGTCTGTTATATTGGCCATTAACCACAATCCTATTTAAGTGGCTAAAAAGGCACTACAGTTGTATTTCTATAAAATCTGTGAGCTGCTCCTCGAGGAGTTTCAGTCTTAGGTCAACCCTGTAAGACATTTGGCATGTTAGTTCAGTTACAGCTCATTTTGTTAACTATTACTTCTGAAAGTACAGGGCAAGCTTGTGCAACTTTTTGGACTGAATATCCAAAAGAGATAAATAAAATAATGAATAGAATGATATCTGCTACCAGTTTCTCTACACCATGATCAGAAGTGGGCAGGTTTGACCTGGGTCATGATAGTGGCACAAAGAAAGAGAGAATCCAAGACGGTCTTGTAACTTTACCAGTACCACCCTTGACTGCACTGACATGTTTAGCACCAGACTCCTCAGATGACGTAACAAAAATAAGTGAGCTAGAACTGGTGAATGAGTGATCCAGAATCTACTGCTCCCACTGCAGACCAGAGGCCACTTGCAGCTGGTGACACCCAAGCTTGCAGGGACAATCCCACGTGATGAGAACAAAGGATGCAGAGAAGGACTCACCAGATTTTCTATGTCTGTCCGTGCCAACACGTAGGTCCGCATATTGCTGTTCTGATGCAGAAGCATGTACAAGAGAAGAGTGGCTTGATCAGATTTCTGCTGCTCACATAAAGCTGTGTATAAACTGTTAAAGTTAATCTGGAAAGCGTGTGGATTTGATGATGAAAAAGCGGTATTATCTGAAATAAAGAAATAAAAGAAAATCTTTAACAAATACATTTATCATTCAGTTATTTGTTCATTTTATAGAATCTCTGGGGGAAATATTTAATACACCACAAAAAAACAAGAAATAAAAATCACCTGAGACTCTTATCACCAGTGGTCATAAACCTTAACAGAGTCTCATTAAGGTTTCGTTGTGCCAAAAAGCTGAGGCTGTCCTCCCATATGAGCTTGAGTAAGACCCCCATACCTGCACAAAACATTTGCTTTTTTCATAAAACAATTTTGTCCCTCCTTATGGCTTCCTCTGCTAAGAAGGAATGTGATTCCCAGGAGCTGCTGGAAGGGGGGCAGCCATAAGGTCTTCTCTGGAACCAATATATCAACAATTAACATCCAAACCCTACACATCAAACTTAAAGGTTTAGTTCTCTGGCATTAAGGTGGAGTATGTCCCATCCACCCCTTTCTGGGATGGCATGAAGGGGGGATGTGCATAGGTCAAGATTACTGTGATATCTCAGTGGAACAGTGTCAGGACTTTAAGAGGTGGGGAGTTCGGTGGGTTGACTGACATTGTCGGACATCCCTCAAGGTAACAGCACTTTGTTCATAACCACAATATGCTCTGTGCCGGGGCTGGAAGTGAAAATAGAACAGATTTCTGTTCACAGAACCTTTACCAGTTTCAATAAAAATGTCCATCTGCACAGATCTCTAAGGTCTAGAAATTCTCTGTGGAAACAGAAAATGCTAGTACTTACAGGGGGCTTTTGAAGAACATGGAGAGTGAGAGAATTTTTACATGGGCAAATAGCCATAGGACAAGGGGGAAAGGTTTTTAAACTGAAAGAAAAGACATTTAGATGAGAGATCAGGAAGAAATTCTTCCCTGGAAGAGTGGGCAGACCCTGGCACAGGGTGCCCAGAGAAGCTGTGGCTGCCCCTGTATCCCTGGAAGTGTTCAAGGTCAGGTTGAACAGGGCTTGGAGCAACCTGGGATGGTGGAAAGTGTCCCTGCCCATGGCAGGAGAGTTGAAACTGTTGATCCTGAAGGTCCCTTCCAACCCAAAGCACACTGCGGTTCTATGATTTAAGCCCATATTCTTATTCAAGTTTGCTAAGTAGCTTTCAGCACAGAAGAGTGTGGCAGTCGTCAAGTATTTTGAACAACATTTCCACCCACTTTGGATGGAAAAAGTGCTTGGAATTGCTGCAGGAGCACTGCAGGAGCCCTGGCTACCATTGGTTTTGTGGGGCCCAGCAGACAGAGTGCCGGGGAGCCACCGCTCCTCTTGGCCAGGGCAAGGGGAGGACAGCTCCAGCCATTGAGCTGGAGGCAGCAGGAGGCTCTGGAGCAAACAGGACTCCTGCCTGTAGGAGCCGGGAACCACACGGAGACGCAGCCCTGCAGCTATGGAAACGCTGCCTGTCCCCAAACCATGCACCCGCAGGAGCAGCAGAGACCCCAACCTGGCCTTCCTCAACTACTGATCATGATTATGGACCAGCTGGTTGAAAACCTTCATGCTTTGGGTAGGAATTTCCCTTTCAGAGGGAAAACCTGGATGTAGACAGCAAAATCAGAACAACTCAGTCCTTGGTGCCACAGGTGCTGAGAAGCTCCCCTTGACTTTGCAGCTTCACTTCTGCAGGTGTTTAAGCTGTGCCACTGGGATTTACAGCATGCCACTATCAGTTTATAAAAGGATACTAAAAAGCCCAGTAAAATCAAAATCTAAACAGAATTAAAGAAACTTACCAGCAACACCAGCATATCCTGCAGAACATTAAATGGATCAACAGAAAAATTAAACTGTCCTAGATCACGTACAAAAAAAAAACCTATCCTGAATTATTCTAGTTTTGTCCAATTAAATTATAGAAATTATTTTAACAAAAATGCCAATTTTCCTTTTATAGTATATATTATGGCAGCAGCCAGCCTCTTTTTTTCACATTACTTTCCTCTTAGAAACCCCTTAGAATGTTCACAGAAATCAAATTTAAGCTCAATTACGAGTATTGCTAGTGGAAACAAGTTTCTGGGAAACAATAAGTCATTCTATCAACATACACATGTAGAAAAAATACAGCTTTTCATGCTACATTTGACACAAAATAAGTTGTTTGAAAATTTTATAATGATATATGTATAGTGCGCTTTAATGAAATACATTACTGGCTACTGATGGCATGAAACAAAGTGAACCAAAATTCAACACTAAAAGAAGCTTGCAGTTTCAAGACAGAACAAAACAAAAACTTTATCAACAGTTTGATCTCAACTACCTGTAAATGGTATCCAAATAAATCAAAGAAGCATGTTAGGACTCAGAATTGTTCTTATGAGAACAATCCTCCACCTTCACAACCCAATAAATTTTCCTAGGTAATGGTGAATTAATTTAGAGCTCAACCTGGTTAAAACTTAATGGATAAAGGAATACAAAACAACCCCAGAAGAAAGTGTGTAACTCAGGATATTACTGCGGCTTCACAGGTTGTCACACAGTTCCTGAGCTCTGTGCATGGTGCCAACCTGCACCAAGCCAATGAAAGGTAAAACCACATAGCTCAGACTCAGAGATTTAAGTATAGATTAAAGTATACATGGAAAATGGTGGAGTCCCCATCCCTACAGGAATTTAAAAGCCATGTGGATGTGGCACTTAGGGGCATGGGGTAGTGGTGGCTTTGGCAGTGCTGGGGAATGGCTGGACTTGGAGGGCTTTTCCAACCTAAGTGATCCTGTGATTCTGTGACAGGCACAGGCTGCACACTGAGCTATCTAGATAGAACAAGCAGTGTTAGGGCATTCCCATGGCCCAAACAAGACCCTCTGCCAGTCAGTGCCACATGGCACCTGCAGATACCCGACACACCTGTCTCCCCAAAATCCAGACAAGCGGCAATACAACTCTGAAACCTCCCATACATACAAAATTCATGCAAGTGTTTAGGTTAAACATTTTTTTCTTTTTTTGAAATACAAGAATACAGTCAGCAAACCCAGGCAGCAATTTAATTATTTATCTTCTCTCTAAGGACTATGACTCCAGGACAAAAAGTGCTACAAATTTTTAGGGGACTCCTGCAGATTCTTGGATAACCAATCTACTTATAGGTTAGTTTTATGTACATTTTATGAAGTTATACAGTCACAGAACCAACAAGGTCAGCAGGGACCTTTAAGAACTTCTAGCTCAGGAAGTCAACTGGATCAGGATTATGAAGCTTCCTAGTATTTCTCAACAGAAGAAAGAAGTATTCTCCCTCTGTCCCCACCACTGAGTTCCAGCAGCTGAGGAACTCCACCTCAAAACTCCCAGATAAAGAAGTGTTATTACTGTTCTTCCATTCATGTGCTGGAAGGACAACAAATCTTGGAAAGAGAACCTCTAAGCAATCACTGCATCTTAAAACTCTATTTCATCAGTTCAGGCTCAGAAGTAAGAACAGATACAAACCTTGTGTGTTCTTGAAGGACATGATGGCTTGCCTGTACGGATTCGGGATGTCAGGAGCATCAGTCAGGTTGGCCAGGACCAGCAGCAGCAGCAGGCTCTGGCTGGCCAGAGGGGAGCACTGCTCCAGCTGTGCCGACGCTTTGCTGCCCACCCCACCCAGCGTGAACACTGTCCACAGGCCAGCTGCAGAGAAAAAATAACAAATAACAGGTTTGGTCATATTTTGGTCGTATTTTAATAAACAAGGCTATTTTAGATAGTGGGTTTAGATTAGATATTGGAACAAAATCGTTCCTGGGGAGGGTGAGCAAGCAGCTGGGGTTGCCCCTGGATCCCTGGAAGTGGCCAAGGCCAGGTTGGACAGGGCCTGGAGCAACCTGAGATAGTGGAAGGTGTCCCTGCCCATGGCAGGGGGTGGAACTGGGTGGTCTTTAAGGTCCTTCCAGCCAAACCATTTTGTGATTCCACAATTGTATATTGTGCATGTACAGCTCCAGTAGTAACCCATAATGTATAAAGCCAATGTAATGTCCCTGAAGGCTGCTTGAAAAAACTTTCATCACACTACCTAAACTTCGATGATTTGACCTCAAATGCAGAGAAATTTTCACACTTACAGCACTAACAAGAATTTACTCCAATACCAAACTATTGCATTTGAAACTCCTGTTCCTAATTACAGTGTTGGTGAAACTAGATGACCAGCTACATACCCAAATTACTTATTAAATACTGATTAGAGAAGAAGAAGCTTCAGAGGAGGATTAAAGGACTCCCCTCATCCCTCTCCAGCAAGTCCATTCGTCCTCATACCCTTGCCACTGCTCATGGGACTGTATTACAGCATTGGAAAAAAACTGAGAAAAGCAACAAAACTGAAACAGGGATGCTGCAGACTCAGCATTATTGGAGCACAAAGTCAGAGGAAAGGACAAAACCTCTATGGTTATCACATCTGGGCTCTTGATACATTCATTCCAAGGGGATAAGGAGCAGCCCCTCCCAACAGTATTAGATTCATCCCCAAATGCTTGCCTAGCAGTTCATATTTTTTAGTGCATCTTGAAATTTTATGGCAGAGACTAAGCATTTCATCAAATTGTTAATTCGAAAGGTTAAAGCTTTGAGTTATACAGGAAAAAAAAAAATAGTAAGTTCTACTTTAAAAAAGGTACATCCTTATTTTCTCTTTTAATTAATGCCTAAATCAAAAATTGATTAAAAGACACCTTCTTAAAGAAAACAGAAAAATTAAAAAAGTTTAATTTTCAATCTTCTAGTCTTCAAGACTCAAGGTGCAAATGATAAAAACCTGTAAGCCATTTGAATGTAAAACATTAAAGTATAACCAATTAAAATAATTTCAACTACTCTTGGCCCTACAAGATTTCAAGCCACTCGATGACTATTTTTCTTCTGATGTAATTATACAGTCAGCTTATGTAAAAAAACAATGCCCCCTCATTAGGACAATTGCAGGGAAATTACTGCCATGTCATGGGCAACACAACTAATGCCACTCAGTGTTAAGCAGCTTGAGAGAGTTCTTATAATAAAAAGTACTATAATTGCAGCCTTCTTAGCAAAACTTTCCTCTTACATTAATAACCCTTTATCACCATGTTTTTCATCCACTGTTCTTATCAGAACGAATCATGCTGATCATGAAGTTTTTAAGCTCACATGAGTTAACCAGAGAGCTAACATGCAAAGAAACTATTTCTGAAACCCTGAAACAACTGTACAATTATCACATGTAAAATGATAATATATATAATATATAATATAATATATAACATAATATATAATATATAATATATAATATATAATATATTAAATAAATTAAAATTATCATTTTTAAACTTAATATAGTTCTTGTTTTTAATTTTCTACCACCCTATCCTTCTGTGGCTGCCATCTGCCATTACTATGTCTTTCCTCAATAGTTATGGCTATAATATATGGCAAAAACACCTGTTATTAATCTGAATTTTCCACCCAGGAGAATGAGGTCACTATGTCTGATAGAAATCTGCACATTAATATGTGATCTAAGTAACCACCTGAAGTTCTCTTGTGTATTGACAAGTCCTTCAGAAAACCAATCCCAAGTAACAGGTTCATAACCTTCAGTTCAGTTACAAGGGCACTGTCACATTAGGTGCTAAGTACTGGCTGATGCTTCCAACACACTCAAATTAAAATCATTTTAAAGGAAAATATTGTTTCTGATCATGAAGAGCAGCTTAAAAATGCTAAATAGGTAAAGAGCCTGGGAGGACAGAGGGACAGGAAGTTTCTAGCTGTATGTAGCAGTATTTTCACAATATCTGAAATACTACTTTGTTAAACCTCATTTTATATTTATGCATATTTCAAAATTAAAAGACTATATTTAACTTCTTTAACAAAGAAACAAAAGTAATTAAAACAAAGTAACTTATGCCATACTCCCTTAGAGCTTTCCTTACTATATTCTTTTCAGATTCTGAAGAAGAATAGACACTGATACAGTGTGGATAGAATAATATTTTAGATTCTGCTTCTTCAGAACATCACAGGAAAAAAAACCCGCAGAATAAAAGGAAGAAAAGTCCATGTTTAAAAGGGATGAAGGCCATGTTGGACAGGACTTGGAGAACCTGGGATAATGGAAGGTGTCCCCACCCACGGCAGGGGTTAGAACAAGATGAGCTTTGAAATCCCTTCCAACACAAATCATCCATGATTCCATGAAAACTCCTGTAAAAGCCAACAGGATAGCCATAGATGGCTGCAACAGTACTAGCTCTGCCTGCCATCATTACAGGCATGAAGAGAAATTTGACTAAATGTTTCAACATATAGATTGGATTTCTTTCATTTTGAGGTTTTTTTATTTTACTTCTATCCTCTTGTCATTTTTTTATATATCACAAGACAAATACAAATTCCAGATGTTTCTGTAAAACTTTCTACATCTGGGAGGTGGTAAAGATAAGCTAGGCTTCTCAAAACTGAACCACTAAACTGTGAAAATGAGGGAAGGATAGATTACCTGAAATTGCATCATGAGGCAAACTGCTTCTGAAGATTTATAAAATCTTGAAAAGTCTCTACAGTACCAAATGCTACCTTGCTGGTCCCAATTGTAAACCTGATGAAGTCAACAATCCACAACCCTAAAACAGTCACTTCAACATTGTTGTAGTTTAACAGCACACAGCCAATCACTCTCTTCTCTCTCACGAGATGGGGAAGAGAACTGAGAGAAAACACAATATTCATGGGTTGAGAGGAAGGCAATTCAATAGGACTGAAAAAAAAGGGAAAATGATGATTATAATAATGATGATAAAAGAATATACAGAGGAAGTGATGCACAGTGCAGTTGCACTGTTGCAGTTGCCCCCCAGTTTTACTGCTCAGCATGACAGGATATGGGATATCACTTCAACCAGTTGGGTCAGCTGTTCTGAATGTAACCCCTTACAGCTCTTTGTGCCTTAAGAAAACTTGAAGCTCATCCCATTCTAACCCTTGCCATGTGCAAGGACACCTTCCACCATCCCAGGTTGCTCCAAGCCCTGTCCAACCTGGTCTGGGACACCTTCCAGTGATCCAGGGGCAGCCCCAGCTGCTCTGAAAAACCTGTGCCAGGGCCTGCCCGCCCTCACAGCCAGGAATTTCTTCCTAGATCATAAGAAGGTGACAAGTCCTTGACTCAGCATAAGCATGACTTAGCAACAACTAAAATGTCAGGGTGATATTAACATTACCCAGCACTGCAACTCTATCCAAGCTGAAAACAAGACAAACATTGAGATATTTGGATCATTTATTTCATTTATACAGTTTACTGCTTTCTGCAGAATACTTTCAATTGAGTATCTCTAATATTTGTCCATCACTTCTAACTGTGTCCAGCTCTGGGCTCTCCAGTACAAGAGAGACATGGAGTTCCTGGAGGGGGTCCAGTGGAGAGTGACACGTATACTGAAGGGCCTGGAGCATCTCTGTGTCTAGGAAAGGCTGAGGGAGCTGGGGCTGCTCAGCCTTGAGAGGAGCCCCAACTGAGAGGGGCCTCAGCCCTGGGTGTCCCTGGGTGTCCCTGGGTGCAGGGAGGTCAGAGCAGAGCCTAGCAATGGCACCAGAGCGATGGGCAGGGACTGAGCCCAGGAACTGCCCCTGCACAGAAGGAACAACTTCTGCCCTGAACAGAGACCAGAGAGGGGAGGAATCTCCCTCACCGGGGTATTCCAGACCCTTCTGGGCACAATCCTGTGCCCTGTGCTCTGGGATGGAATACTTTAATAAGGAACTGCCTGCTTTTATCTTAAAAACCAGATTAACAGATTCATTTTTGCCCTTCGCTTACACCAAACTAGCCACCACAGATTTTTCTCTCCTGTTCATACAACTCTATGTAAGGCAGAGCAAGAAAAGCAGGTCATAAGAGCAATGTTATTTTGCAACAGAGAAGCTGAGATTATTCTGTAAGATGGCTGGAAACATAGTTTACAGCCATGAAAATAAACCCAGGGCTTTAATCTAGTTTGACAGTCTGTGAAACAACACTTAATGGCCAAATGAAGTTATGACACAATCATCAAAACAGAGCTTTCTTTCACCTGACTGTTGCTTGATGCAAATACAACTCTGCAGAAATCTCTGCCTAATGCCTGGCCTCTGTTACACAATGAGATACAAATAAGGTTCATGTTTGTACCTAGTTCAAGAAAGTTTAAACATGCTTATTTATAGTTTCACAATAATAAGAATAATTTTAAGAGTTTGACTTTGAAGACATTTTGAAACCAAGAGCACAGAAGGTACTCTAAAAACCCATTACACTCATATAAAGCATTGCATCTTACAGTCAACTTCTAACACTGTCTACCATTATTTTAAGTCAGCAGATCAACCGACTGTGAGCTATAATTGATTTTTGAGCTCTCCTGGATTAGTTATTAAACTAGCTGTAATTCTTCTGCAAAACATATTATTCACTTTCAACCTTCAGTGTCAAGGCTAAAAAGACAAACTTTATGACTTCTCATGCTGGACAGAGCATTAAATTAATGTTGAGGAAATTAGAGTTACTTATTTCCAAGTTTCTTTCTAGGAAATTATTATTGTTTGGGGTTTTTTTTAATCTAATAGTAGCTCAAAAATTCAATTAAAGTAATCACTGAACTTCAACC